ATAGAGAACAGTATGGAGAATATGCATACTGATGTTAGGGTGTAAAGGGTTAGGAGGAGGTGGGATGGTGCAGTGGTGAGAGCACCTACCTGACCTACCTGACCTACCTCCATATTTGATTCACTTGATGTACATTAAGATTTATTTTGCTCTTGATTTGGATCCTTACTTCAAAGAATTTCAAACATAAACAGGAAGATCTCACTGTTATTTACATGGACTCTTATCCCATCTTCACTGGATCTATGTAACTTATTCATACATTGAAAGCAACACATGTGTAAGATTTTTGTTTATTCAAGAAATAGAAATATTGCAATTACTATTATTATTATAGTATTTTGTGAACTGCTGTCTCATGTTTTTAAAATTTCCTTTTGTTAAAGTTCTTTTCTCCCTCATTTAGACTATTAAGGAGTTCCTTCCAAGCATGTTTCAACAAAACCGAGGCCACATAGTAAGCATAGCATCTATTGCTGGTTATACTGGTCTTGCTGGTGCTGTTGACTACTGTTCATCCAAGTTTGCAGCTGTTGGTCTGATGGAGGCATTACGTCAAGAATTGTTAAGCCAGAAAAAGAATGGTATTCAACTGACAACAGTATGTCCTTCACTTATAACCACTGGAATGTTTGATGGAGTTAGGTTCAGGTTGGTGAAGTTTCTTATGTCGCTATATGAGAAGTTCATATGCATAGGAAGAAAAGTATCCTCCTGCTTAGTTGTAATTACACCTTGAGGGAAGCAATCAGAGAGGGCTGCACCTCAAACTCTGTCTTCCCCCGGCATCCCCTCCCCTCCCACCACCACCTAACCCCTTCATTAGATTTGTCAAGTCCTTACTTAGGTAGAAAGGAGGGGCAAGTAGGTAAGATGAGTTCAAAGTCATGGTTGATATGCTTGATGAAGCAGAGTTGGGTGAAGGAAAAGGTGGTAGTGCTTGTGCTGTGAAAGGAGTGATGCAGCTGTGAGGAGGAAAAGGGGAACAAATAAGACATAATAATTTACAAGATACATGTAAGTTTACAAAATATGTGATGAAAGGTGGCTTCTGTGTACTTCACACAAAAACTTATGTGTCAGATGATACCACAACTGCACCCAATTTATTACATTGGAATTATTCTTGGTTTTTTAGGTTTCCTAACTTGGTAGGCTTTGGTACTCTTACTCCACAATATGCCGCATCCAAGGTCATTGATGCTATTGAAAAGAACCAAATTCACCTCACTATGCCTCGAGGTGCTTATTTATCAACAGCCCTACAACAGTAAGTTTTTCAGTTTAGTTCATGAGCTCAACAATGGCTTGGGCTTATTAGGCATTGTAGTAAGATTGCCATATGTCTTGACTTCCAAATGTCATCACATGCAGCTCTTGCTAACAAGACAAATTGCCTCACTAACTCTAGTCAAACTGACCCAACTTTTATGTAAATTTGGTTACACCAAAAACAATCCTATTAATTTTTGCATTTGAAATCTGTAGGAAACCTGGAGAGAATTTTCGTGCAAAATTGCTTTTTGCAAAGAGATGACACATCTTTTTTGATGTCTGCATAACTTTAAATGATGGCCTGAGGTGATTTTAACCTTTCCAAAGGTTTCAGCAACATTCACTACATGATGAAAGGTGGTGACCCTGACACAACTCATAATTACTTACAAAGTGACATTAATATTGTTTCACATTTGAATAGATACAGCACAATTTTCATGCCAGTTTAAAAACATTATCATAGGTAAACACCCCAATACCTTGAACTAGAAACCTTCAATAAACCCATTGTGACAATGTTCTTCCCTTGTTCTGTCCTCCAGTATCCTACCAGAGAGAGCTACAGACCTGCTGTTGGCCTTCCTTGGAGCAGATGTGGCAATGAACACTTTCACAGGGTGGCAAAAAAATGACATCAATGATGAAATGCGAAGTTAGAGCAACCTTTCAGAAATATATTTTAGCAAATCTATTATTGCAGTCTATTTGTTCAACAGAAGGGTGGTTAAGACCTTGTTTGCACTAAGAGGGGTAACCTAGGATGGCCAAACAAAAAGACAGCCCTCCTTGCTTGTGAAGGGCTGGTTTAGGGTACCCTTACCCCACACAGAATAGTGTTGGCAAATGATCTTGCTTAAATTGGAACAATCATTCTCTAAATTATTTGTCAAATCAAATTTGCTGTAAAGAACTACGTGGAACTAAACTTGTTACTTTGTTTCTATGTATACTAAAGATGAATGATGTCAATTTACTATCAAAGTGATAACATTAAAATGAATCTCAAATTACTAACAGTGTGAAAAGAGATATCAGTACATGTGTAATGATATAAATGATGTATCAATATAGTGTCTGTGCAATAACTTGTGCTTACTTAACCCTTTTCAGCCTAACATCATTGTGAACATTCTTCATACTGTTCTCCATGTATTTCCCAAGGAGTTGACAAAGAGAATTTGTTAAACAATCAGGAGCTTCTTTGGTTGGTGATCATTTCCTTTACTCTCCTGACCTTCATGTTTGATACAGGGGTGATATTGTGAGGAGAAATAAGATGCTGGTCACTCTTGGGGATCAAAGGGTTAATAAGCATGTTGAGCCAGTATCTCTTACAGAAGGTGCCCACAGTTCATAGACAGCTAATACTTAGACAACGTGGTAATTTAGTTGAACATATGCACCGAGCGGGTTGGGGCTAGACATTACCCATTATCAATTTCAGAACGAATGATTATTGCAGTTAAGGGTGATCCTGTATTGCATTGGTTTGCCCTGACTAAACTCCATGATTGGTCAAGAAAACTCCCACCACCTCCTCAACCAATCGGATGCGAAACTAAAACCAATCATGACTTGGCCTATAACGTTTTCCCGCGTCAAATGTAAGCCATTATTTGTGACATACTTGGAGTTTCGCTGACATCTGCTAATGAAAATCTTCTGATTTTCCGTTGTGAATGCTTCAGATACGTAATCGAATGTTGCTCTATATGTAGTTTCACCATGAAACGATTCATAAGTGTACGCTTATTTTTGGCCCCATCTCTCTCTCTCAATGATTCACATAGAGTGGTAAAGGAAAGTAATTATGTACGCTCCCACGGTTCCTTTTAAAGCTGTTCTTGATTTAAGACCGTAATGTTCAAAGTCTATGCCCGCTCTTGGACCAGTAACCATACCCTATGGTACCCTGTCCCCGGGATCACCACCAATAATCAGAACAATATGAAACTTGAACACACCGAGTCAGTTTATTGCTTGTTAAGTTCTTGATTACATTTAGTAGAGAGGCACTAAGGCAGAGTTGAAAATAAGATAACCCTGTTTGCTATAAGCGTTGATATCGTTCAACCTTTCTTTATCCGGCGCTAGTTACAAATTAAAACTAACACTGCAGCTCTTTCATAAGGAGTTCCCGTAAAAATAAGAACGAGCAAGTGGTAAAACTTCAATGTAATCCATTTTTTCTCTCTTCTCAGAGAATGTACAAAAGTAAGCACTTAACAGCAGTACATGCAGTTACAAACCACGAGTACTCAATAAACGCAATCTTTCCACAGCATATTCTGACTTCACGCCACTAAGGTGAAGGTAAAAAAATGTTTCGTTCCGGACAACCTTAAGGAAATAGCTGCTACCTAAAAAAAACTTTCGTTAAATATATGCATAGTTAAAACTTTAAGGCTGAAAAGTTGAACTGCACAAATTTCTTGCGATTGGCCAGCGTTGTTATCAGTCACACTAAATCCTGCTCTCGTTATTTAATACTGTCTCTGCCTCTATCACTTCTTCATTAGATTAACTGACAACTAAAATAAAAACCTACGATAAATTATAGAGCACTCTTCGATTGAGTGTCGCAAAACCAAAACCAAAGTACTCGCAACAGCCAATCAGAGGAATGGAAAACATCTTTTAAGATCCGATGAGAACTCAAAGTAAAAACGAGTTAACTGCCTAAAGTGCGGGTGATCAAGTCAGGATTGGTTTTAGTCTGGTCTTGCATCTGATTGGTTAAGAGAGAGGTGAGAGTTTTCATGACCAATCATAGAACGAAGTAAAGCAAAAACAGGGTAACTCCGGATTACTTTCAACACTCGATGGAAAATTGCTCTATTACATCCAAAATAATTTTAAATTGTTTGGTAATCGATGACTCCGTTCACCTCTTAAACTCAAACTGTGATTTCCAACAATGTGCAATTACTTACAAATACACTTTTCCGGCATAAAACTTTACTCTAGCTCTGCTATCACTAGTATTCTAGCTCTATATCATTTTGATTGAAGCCATGGAGCTTCTCTCTTTCAGTAGCTGTTACCTCGTCGATGTATTTAACCAGGATAGACCATTTTCTGTTGCTGGCTGATAATCAAGAAATTGGATCAATCTGAACAACAGAACGTGACATTCGATAGTCCGGCTGTCCAGTTCAGAAATCAGCATAATTGAAGTGATTGTAGCTCTGCCCTAAAAATGTGACTCTCAACACACTCGAATTCCAAAGGAAAAAAACCACAAGTTGATACAGTTATCAAACACGCACTCGATTCATCTCTACCAACTTCCAGTGGAGGAAAACCGTAATTATCAAAATAGAGAAAACTTAAAAACACTCAACTAATCAAACAAACATATTTGCTTAGATAACGTTAGTATTGTATAAATGCACTCGAAAGTAAACACGTTTACCTTCAGTGAAATTTCACGCGTCCACACAAACTTTGTCACTAGGACAAACACCTACAGCCTCCTTCATCTAACTATTGTTGGTTTTTTGTAAAAACTTAAAAATTTTAGCACTCTAACAAAGTAACGAAAAACTCTGAACAAATGTCTATTGCGTCTAGTTGATAAAAGGCCTTTAATGCCCTCCAATTTTTCTATTTGAGGGCAATGTAATTTCTAGGAAACGGCAAAAGTTATAAAATGCAGACCCTTTTTTGAATTGCACACAAATTACACTGAATTATAAGGTGGATCCCAAGAATTAAGAAAGAGGGCGCAAAAATTGTGGTCGAATCATAAGTTCACTCCAACTGAAACCAATAGCGCATCAACATTCACTCAAGATTGTTGGTGTTCATTAAGTAAGAACTTAAAAATTCCAAAGCAAAAGGGTGGGTAACATGGGAAGGGATCATATCAAACTCCAAAGAATATAATAACAACCCCTTAAAATAAACATTACAACTAGGAAAAGTATTGCCTCATGTACTTCAAGTACAGTAGGAAAAAGTCTGGCTAAAAAAAAAAACAAAACTATCCATTGGATTCCTTAACAGGACAACAAGAAAAGTTGATTTTCTAAATATTAGTTAACAAAGGTAGATTGCATTGTACATGTTTTCAGAAAAACTACACTGCGCAGTTCGCTCTCCTTTAAAGTGGACAGAGCCCATGCATTACAAGAGACATCTTACAAGAACTCTGCTATAAGACGTACCGACCCCTATCCAAAATGGCGATCAAATGTCAAATCTCAAATTGTCAAACTTCGCATGATTTTCATATCACTTTCACTCTAGATACCTGTTATTCTATTTTGTATTAATTATCAACAGACCCTGACCCAAAATAGCTGCCAAATGTGAAGCCTGAAATAATTAAAATTTGCTGGAAAATCAAACCGATCTCACAATGGGTACCTATCATTTTATAATCTTATTTTGTAATCTTACAAAGTTTCATTTAGTCAAGTGTAGTTTCAGCCAAGAAAATATCATTCAAATTCAGAATATTAACCTACCCTTTTTTTTTCGGGGGAGGGAGGGTCATTATAGAGTCTTTTGATATTGGAAACACTCAGATTGTCCACAGTAGTTTTGATCCAAATGTTGAACACTTTCTGCATTCCTAGCTCTGAGGCTAATATTACATGAATAAATTTCTACTTTGGTCGCCATTTTGATGAAGGATCAGAAAGTGATGGAAGTACTAAAAAGGCGGTAGATGTGTTACTTGTATTTCTTTAGGATAAGAGCACTATGACCAGTATCAACCTGCTTGATTACTCTAAGCCTCAATTTGGTAACAATACCTTTTACTCCTGAGGTGGAACTAAATCTTTCCACCGGAATAGCGCTTCACTGTAAAGCAGGACATGTTCTCCATCGACTGTTTGGTAGGTCATTTCTAAATTTTCTGCTGCCTGCCAACAACACAAAGTGTACAAATCTCCACCACACCAAGAAATTTCGCAAATACGGTACCTTGGATCTTCCATAATGATATCCACAGCTTTGGTGTAGGCACTTTCACGCGACAAGTTGATTTCCTGGAACTTGGACAGCTGAACAGCATTTTTCGGCCTATGTCCAAAACCCTTCGGATCTGGTTCCTGCAGGAGAAAAAGTATCATTATCCCCTTCTCGCAGTTTATAAACATGCATGGATGTAAGACCATATAACTAATTGTGATTTTCATAATCATTACATTTAAGGTAGCACAAGATTTTATGAAAAAAAAGCACCAGGGAGAAGAGTCAGTTAACTTATCTCTGAGACTAAGTTATAGATTTTAAATATTTCCATCCGACTTTTGCTATTTCCGATGAAGGAATTTCTCAATTCCTTGGATGTCTGTTACCAATATTTTTTTCTTAGGTTTCCTCAAGATTATAATCTTTTGGTCTTACTCGTCAGTTTTAAAGATCATCAAACTGTTACCTAAACTTCTTACTTGCATAACTTTCATTTAATCATTTAGCCGACTGAAAACAAATTAGCGAAGAACTATCTATATTTCATAGTTTGAAAGAAAGGCAAACCTATGTAAGATGAGAGGCAAAGCTGAATTCACAAGCAGTAAGTTCACGTACCCGTGCCGAGTGCAAATACATTTCTTGAGAAAAAGTTTTAACAGATAAAAATAGACTGCAAAACGTTTGTATGTTTTATTTGAAATAATCAGCTCTAAAACCATAACAATAATGTTACATACAAACCTAGCTAAAGTTTCTTTCAACAGTAGTCTTTAAATATCTCCAAAATTTTTTTCAATTTCCCTCGAGGAATAAAGATCAGAAAAGAAGTTACTTGGTCTCTCACAGTAGGTTTTAAGACTTAAGGAGCCGATTTCGAAAGGTTGCAAAACAAAAGTTAAGAAAGAAAACTAAACAAACCTTGTTTATGTAACTATTTGCCAGCGTTTCTAGTTCTTCCCTTATGATCTCTGATATTTTGAATTCAGCGCGAGCAATCTTCTTACTTTTCTTCAACTCGTCTTTTTTCCAAGTCTCTTCTAGGACTCCGGCTGCCATGTTGAATGCAGGGTCACCAAGGTCTGTTAACAGTTCCCAAACTGGTATGTAAGCCAGAGGGCTACCACGATCAATTAAAGCCCAAGTTGAGTTGTTAGCCAGCAACTTAGTGAACGTAGTAGGGTTTGTGGCTGCTGGACCCATGGCCTGGAAGGAGTACCTATAAGAAGCAGCTTCAGCTTTTTTCTCTTCTGCTTGTAGCTCACCGCTAGTATTACTGTGTCCGCCGCTTATGCTGGCTCCGATTCCAAATGCTCCTCCAAGGAAGCCAACCGATATTTGACCTTGAAGCTCCTTCGCCGCTTTCTCCGTGAAGACAGACGTTTCTATTTCTGCACTGCTCTCGGCGTCTACAATCCGAAAGAGGACACCACCAAGTGAGTGCAGGCCTGCTGGAAAGTGACTTCCGTAGCGATTCATGAATCGACGAGCTGCTGCACTGGGATCAGAGGCTTTCATAATGGATCTTGCCATATTTCTTGCACTCATGGACAGCCTCATCTGCTCTTGCTCTAGTTTAAAGGTCTTGGTTGCAATCCAAACATATTGCAGTACAGAGACGCTACTGGTTTTCTCCTTTACTGAACTTGTCCCTTGACTTTCGGAACTGGAGGCGTAACTACCATGAGCTTCTCCAACGAAGAGCCCCACAAAACCGCCGACACTGAACCCAATATTAGTGCTTGACGATTTTACGGCGTGGGCATACTTTGAGGCAGCCATGCTTTCAGAGAACTTCAAGTAATTGATCTGCTGAGAGTTGTTAGGGCTACCCAGTGTTACCTCTGTGGGCATAAGGATGAGAGGTCGTTCCGCCGTTTTTGGCGGGTTGTACGCTGAGTGATAGATTCCACAGAGCGCTCGGCCTCCACTGGCTTTCTTAACTATTTCGAGGTCGCTTTTGTAACTTTCACTGACTTCTACAGTGTTTTCGAACTGTTCAATTACTTGATTTAAGTGCGTCAACAGTTCGTCAGGTTCCTTTCCACTCTCCTGTTTATTCCAATCAGGTGGCAGCTGGAGGATTTTTCCAATTTCAGCCATCTTCTCACTTACTGCTTTTTTTGCTTGCTCTGACTCCTCTTTTGCCTTTTCACTTGCCTCTTTCATCAGAGCCTTAGCCTTTTCTAGCTTTTCTTCATCAATAGCTTTCTTCTCTTCGCCAGATTTTTCAGCTTCAGAACGTTCAGTGTTATTCAATTCAGCTTTAAACAGGCGCCTAACTTCGTTTTTTTCTCCAGTATTAGCTTTAAGAGCATCAAGGTCTTCAGCGGAGATACGACCGAGCGCCTCGAGAGATGGAGCCTTTCCAACCAACCACTTGACCCAATCTTGTTCAACATCAATTCCCTTGGAGCTCAAGCCACCAAGCACTTCCAGACTTGGTCCAACTCGTCTTTTTATGACACTCAGGCCGTCCTTGACCACAACCTCCTGAGGATTGAGGTGGAAGTATCTTGCAAGTTCTGCCTTGTTTGTTAGGTAGTGTACCACAAGTTCAAGTCCTTCTAACTCCAAACCATTTTTCTCCATCATATCTTTGAGTTCTGGTTCTAATCCATAACATGAAGCAGATCTTAGCTGATTTAGGAGATCATTTTTGACGTCTTGCTTTTTAAGAGCATTTACTTTTTTGTGCAACCTTCGAATGAGACCTTCGCACTTTGAAGGATTGTTTTGAGGGAGCTTGGATATTTCATCCTCTACTTCCATTTTCATCTGTTCTATATGCTTCTCTTCTTCTTCGCGCACTGCAATTTCTTTTTTTCCTTGTCGTTTAGCCATGTTAAATCTTTTTATCCAGTCCTACGTGCAAATGAATGGAAAACTTTACTCTTTGATGTGATGTGTTTACCGACGAGATTTGACTTTTATCAATTTTTTTAACAGCAACATTTTTTAACTTGTTCTTGAGCATAGAGAAGGGACGAAGCAGTGTACATAAACTTTGGTTTACTATCTATTCTTTGCAATGTAAAGCTGAAGTGATTTGGTCTAGTTCACCGAGTGGGAAAAAAAATTGCAGAGTAATACCTCAGCGCGTGTAAATCGCCTTTGGCAACCTTAAACATATCGAGTATCTTGTATATCATACACAGAACACAATAGAACACGAGGGTGTCATCTGAACTACATATTAAAATAAAAATGTTTGTTAACATCTAGATAGCTCCAGAAGAAAAACCACCTAATACACCCCCTAAGGATTATAAGACTGACCATAAGAAGGATCAAACGATGGAAATATCTTTGTTACAAATCGGAAACGAAGCGAAGAGTTTTCTGAAAGCGCCAATTCCTT